TTCAAAGCAAACAGAATTGATTTTAAAGAATACAAAATAGTAACCGCTGTGAAACTTATGAGACTTGAAATGTTTCTGAGCAGTTTTTCTACTTTGTGCTTTGCTTCTCAGGTGTAAACCTTTCTCGGTGTATAAAGAGACCTGATACAGATCTTGTACTCTGTTAAATCTAAAGAATCTACTGTGAGTTTTTTCAAGAGAACAAAGATGCTTACTTTAATGTTATAGTTAGATTAGCCACTTTTGCTTTTACAGTGAAAGAATAATAATTTACATTATTATCCTATTTTCTCCCGAGGCTTCACATAAGCTTCACTCTTATAACACCAGCCTTCCAGAAACCCGTCTTCTGAAACTGAGAAGGCTGTAAGAAGGAGATTAAATTTCAAATCATTATTTATATTTCTTCAGTAGAGCATTGAAGCATATTCTGCTAGCACGTGCTATTTTTGATTGAAAGCTAATAGTTACTATGATTGCAGCCCATCCCTTAGATTGTTCTAAATGACAAAACAGAGAAGTATCTCGCAAAGCCAAACCTATGTGTGTGCTAAATTGATACATATTTTCAGAATACCACCACTGTTGACAGCATGTTGGTCAGGAGCAAGTACTATTAAGTCTGCAGGCTTGTACATAGTACTCGTAGACATGATAGGAATGTGTTCTTGTGGAGGGTAAGACCCATGTGTTTTCATTTAGATAGTTTTTAGTAAGCTTTTAAATCTTGTTAAAGACCTCGCTAAGCTTGGTTTTGAATGATCAGTTGGGAAACATCATATTTAAAACATTGCTCTATTAAATTCAGATATCTCGTAGAGATTGAATATGGCGATTATAAAGAAAGAAAGAAATGGGGAATGGGAGGGGTGGGAAGAGTTCAAATTCAAAAGGTAGAAGCCAGTTCACAAAACTCATTGTCATTCTTGGAGCCACGTGAAAGAAGAGACATAACATGTTTCATTGTATTTGTATTGTAACATTCCTGGAATCACAGGACACAACTAATTAACGATGCTTTTCTTAAGAAAGTTTTATCATTGTATGGATAAGCCTTGGTGTGGAAATTTGTACTTGCCCAAGAATATATTTGAAATATGCTATATTAGGAATGAATCCAGCACTCAGTATATGAAATTCCCATGTACATAAGGATTGCTTTTTAACATTCTTTAAGCCAATTCTGCAAGGTGCTGAGGGCTGAAAACCAGCAACTGAAGTACTTTTAAGCAAGTGTCTCCATGTTGTTCTGTCCACTGCTAATGATACACTGCTGTCACCACTTACTGAGTGGAATGAACTGACACACCTTAAATATATGCATTCACAGTATCTCCAGAGATCAACTATGACAACTCCAAAAGCATGCTGTCCCCATTGGACATGGGAAGGGAGTGCCAGGGTACTCAGACTAACATATTCCAAGTAGACGATTTCTGTTTTGTTGGTATGTCACACTTTCCCTTTGTCACAAAGCCTGTCCAAAGAGGGCAAAGAAGTATTGGATTCATGCCTTCAGTACTTTTTGAGAAAACTTTCAGGTTTAAAGTTTTTTCCAGGCAAAGAAGCTTCTTTTCCATACTCAAGACATTACAAAAGCTCTTGGTGATGTTTTAAACAAAAAAGTTGTTGGCTGCATGGCTTACTTTATATAGTTAACAGTAACTGATAGTTTGTGATTTTTGAGTTTGAAATGGACCATCTGTCTTAGGTAGCTAAGTTAAAAAACTAGTGTTTATAGAGTTTCTCCAAAGCATGATCAAGACCAACTCAGTTAGGCTTTCTGCTTTGACTCACCACTGTCTTTACTGGTGTGGAGGGAGACAGGTTTCCTAATTCAGGCACTCAAGATAGTTGTCATAAGTCAGGCTGTTTGAAAACTCTCATCTGTTGGTATTACCTAAGTTCTTTTTTCCATTGAAGAAATGTTCAATCTTTCAGAAAGTGCAGCTTGTTTTTAACCTTCCTACACCTGCCTTTACAGTAATTTCCATTACGTTTTTACTTTCTCAGGTAGTCCCACTGAGCTCAGTGCACCAGCAAAGATTATTTCTATGAGTGATATTTATTGAATCTGATTCTATATTTGTTTTCTGTAGCTCAGACCCTGGTCTTTTTTGTGTTGTGCATGTGTATCAATTCTCTATTGGATAACCCTCTTAATAAGTTCCCTGCTTTTTTTAATTTTTATTTCAGACTTCCTGCTTACCTGGCACAAAATAACGTGTATAAGGAGAGGGGAATAATGTAGTAATGGATAAATAAGCAGTTTTTCATATTCTGCCCTGCTTTGTTTGTAACTACTTAATCAATCCAGTATTTTATAAAACTCTTTTAGGTTATTAACTGTAAATCAGGATCAAATTAAAATCCAGTGGGCATTTATCCGTATTTGCCATGTTACTGCCCCTACACTGCATAGTGTCTTAACAGTCCTGCAGTTTTGCTGTTGGAGGTTTTAGTGGATAAAACCATTTTTTATTTTCATGAATGCCATTCGAGTCTACCCTGCACTCCAAAATGAAGTGGGTTTAGTGGTCTGAGTCCTGTCTCTGGTGAACAATAGTCCTCATTACAAAACAGGCACAAAGCTGACAGTTTCTGCTCGGGGACACTCAGACCCGGCCAGTGCGGAGGCAGAATTACCTCACACCCTAGGGAGTGATTTTTCTAGGTGAAGACTGAGGTCATTCATAAGGCAATAGGGAAATGCATCTCTTGTGAAACTGGTCTCTGTGGCAGCCAAGGACAGCAGTCCAGGGTACTGCTGCTGCAGGCTCATTGCTCACTCTGCTTAAGAGTTTTTATAATCTGGGATCTCTGATTTAAGACCACCTCAGTCGCATGTGCCATTTAGCCTCATAGCAGAACATGTAAGCAAAGGTTTTCATTTTGGGATAATGTTTCTAGCATGTTATTTGTTGGAAAAAATACCTTAATACAGGTAAATTCCTAGTTCTGCTATATTAGTAAAAGTTTTGCCTTTACTTAGAGAGTTAGGATGTTACTGTGAATGTGTAAAGGTGCTAGCCATATGGTAAATATAGTAATATATGTTCATTGACTGTACCACCTATTCATTAAGATTTTTTCCCCAAGAGTTACTCTGACAGTGAAGCAGAGAGACCTTAAGTGGCTGTCATCTTTGTGCCAAATGGATTAAAACAAAAAATGTTCAGCACTTCTCAGTAGATCAGTGCTCAATTTCAGCTGGGTCATACCAGGTTAACAAGACCAAGTAGCAGGTTTCTTTTTTATTTTTTTTTTATTTTGGTTTAAAAAAAAAAGAAAAAAAGTAAAGTTTGTTTTTGTTCATACCATTAGCTATTTCAGCTCAAAACTATGTGTGAACATTTTTATTTTGCAGCACAGTAATGCAATTTAGATTATTTCATACCTGTATTGAATTAGCCATAAGTGCAAATTCAAATTAATCTGATTATTTTTATTTCATCTGCTGTGTAAATAAGCCTTGAACCTCTAGTGATTGCTGAATAGGGAAAGTGGCTTAACAGCAGAAATGAATACAGGGCTATCTATCTGACTCTGCAGAAAGCCTGAAAAAATGCCTGCTAAGTGACAGGTTTTCCCACTGATTTTCACTGTGTTAGCTCAGCTTGTGCAGCTACTGTCATTTACCCTCTAGTCCATTAGTAGTTACCCTGTCACTGAAGACTAATGAATGGGGGGGTCATAGATATGTACTATCTGACTTTGGTAGTATCTCTCTAACCTCTAGTCTGGATCATATAAAGAGACTGTAACATTGCCATCACTCTAGAGGTCGTTCCTGAAACTCAATCATCAGTCAGAGGAGATATTGGTAGAGTAATTCTTCCTTGAGTCAGGGTGATGGAGGATGTTGCTCTAAAGGTCCATTTCCCTTTCCTTTTTTATGATGTTGGCAGTATAAATGGGAGACATTTTTTTAAAACTGGCAAACAAGTAAAATCCTGGATTGGAGAGAAGATGTAGAAGAAAGTTGGGAGAAAGTTCTTCAGACTCCAGGAGCTCTGCCAGCACATCCAAACAACCAGCCCATAACCATCAAGCAAGCAGAGTGAACTCCTTTGAGTGTTTTTTCTCCTGCCTACAGACTAGGGTAGTCACAACACGTCTTACTTCCAGCTTACTTTTTCCACTTTCATTTTTCTTCTGCAACTGCAAGGAATAGAATTAATATATTTTATATACACTTTGAAAGTTTAGACAAGCATGTCTTGTGGCCTATGCCACAATCAATCTCATCATAAAGATAACTGGGAACTACTGGAGTGGAGAGAGAAAGACAAGTCTTGTCCCAGCACCACGCACGAGTTTGTTGTCATACTTTGAAGGATATATCAGTTGGAGGAGATGGCTGGTTTCTTTTGGATACCTCCACCCTTTGCTCTCCTGCTTCATCATCCCCCTAACCTCTGTGCAAAAGCCACAGCTCTGGTACACAGGTAGGAGTGGGAGTCTCATTTGATAGCAGACATTTCTAGTCTTCTCTCCGTTTTGGTGTGTGTTTAAATTGTAAAACTTTGCACCTTGTTTAGAATTTGTGGGTTTTTTTAAAAAATACATGTTTATGCTGTCATGCTGTCTGTCTAACCTAATTCTTAAAAAAAAATATATTGGACAATTTAAACTGAATTCAGGTGTGGCAAAGATATTAAGCTCAAGTGAATATTGTGAAAATTGACAGCTGTGGAGATGAGAGCAAGCCTGATAACGCTCCCACTTGTGGGGAGCTTTGCCCCTTACTTCACATGGGAAAATAATCCTGAGAGAGAGATCAGGGAACACCAGTCTTTTGGTTCTGCTATTTATGGAACTACTTGTTTATTCTTAGAAATCCTTTGAGGGTACTTTTGTAAACTGAACATCTACTCTGTACAAAAGTGTCTAGATGGTCTGTGACAAGTGATGTATTACTTTGTTTAGTTGTACATGATCACAGCATGTTCTGGTTTCCCTAGTAAAATTGGTGTTTTTTATTTCTTTCTCTCTCCAAGATTTCTTTTGACCTAGCAGAATATACTGCTGACGTTGATGGAGTTGGCACTTTACGGCTCCTAGATGCTATTAAGACCTGTGGCCTTATCAACTCTGTGAAGTTCTACCAAGCCTCCACCAGTGAACTTTTTGGAAAGGTGCAAGAAATCCCTCAAAAGGAGACCACCCCTTTTTATCCAAGATCGCCTTATGGTGAGGATCGCTGATGGTGTGTGTGTGTAGTGTCTGTCTGTTCTTCCTGCTCATGTCTCAGAGCTGAAGTCATTTGGGTGGGAGATTAGAATGACGATAGAGCTAAAGTGACTAGACATGTCAAGAGGCATGCCTTTATGAATTACTATATAAAAAGTATTTGCTGCCATTGCCTGGGGGTTGGAAATTAACATCTCACTTCACGAGACAGTGTTCATTCAACTCAGAGGTAAAGAGCTCTTTTAGGGAGGGGGGGAAGGGTGACTCTTCCTTCACAAAGTGCTGTGAGATACCGCTGAAGTTATAAGGTTTCATATTTTTTGTTGGCTAAATGAAAAACTCCCAAGAGTTCTCTTCTTCCATCATGAACTTGCATGAAATTTGAAACACTTATTAAAGCAATGTGCATGGAGGTCTTTGGTGATAAAGTTTCAAATCAATTTGAGTGTTAAGGCACCAGATTTTCGCTTTTATTCCTCCAGAGTAATTTTTTTTTTTATTAGAAGAGGTCACCACAGTGGCATATTTCACACGCTCTGGCTGCGTTAATTATATTGTAAAAGAAAAAGTGCTATGCTTGAGTGTGCATAAGAAAACAAGTGAGAAAGTGCCTCAATGCTTTCTGGCCAGTTCAGAGGCTGCACAGCAAAGGAGTATTTTCCCATTCAGCTGCTATTTATTGGGCTGTGTATTTTTTCCATGTGAAATGTGACACATGTAGGGAATGAATCAAATTCTAATGCATTCTGTTGTTGAAATGTGGACTTCACCCTGTGTGTGAGAGAGATGTGTATGTGTGTCTGTCTGACCTGTGTACAAGCAGAGCAGATATATATAACACTGTAAAATTATTTTTGTAGGGGCAGCAAAACTCTATGCCTACTGGATTGTGGTGAACTTCAGAGAGGCCTACAATCTCTTTGCTGTGAACGGCATCCTCTTCAATCATGAAAGCCCCAGGAGAGGTTAGAAAATCCATGTGAACTCTTCCCAACTTTGCGTCAATCTAACAGAAAAAAATGAAACAATGCATCTGCAGGTTTCATTTAAAATTGCCAAAATTCTGTAGGAAGGGTGTCATGACTCATAGCCTGCTAGGGGCATTTAGTGCATCCCTTCTGGCAGTCTCAGAGCCTGCAGAACCGCAGCTTTCCCTTTCAAGCATCATATTCCATTTTTTAGCTCTCTGACGCTGAAGAGAGGCTTGTGTGTCTGATTTGGTGTATCAGTGCTCTCAAGGGACTGCAATGACATTGTAACATCCCTGAGTATTTTTTCTCTCTTGATAGTAAGTTAAAGCTAAAATGTTAAAATGACACATTGAAAGGAATTTTTTTCTAGACATTTAGCTGGACAACTGCATAACAGATGCAATTTCAGGTGTGACTTGTATGCAAGATTTTTATTTGCATATAAATGTCAAATTAAGAGGCAGAAATAATAGACTCTCTAAATTCATAAGACTAATGAGTACAGCCTGGTATGTTTTGAAAAATGTGTGGATTATGGCCCATGCCTTCTGACAAGATGGCTTGTAACACATGGTTTTAAAATGCCTTTCTGTTTAATCCTTAATAGCAATGCAGCTTAAATTCCACTTAATCATCCATTTTCCTCTTGCAGTACTTTATGAACAATTAATACTGGTATTTAGTTTGAATAAGAGTCTCTGGTTGATTAAAAGTCTCTTATACTATGACAGTTTTCCTCTGCTCTTAAAGTACTGTGACTGTAGAAAACACTCTAAAATTAAACTCTAAATTAATGCAGAAAACTGTATTCTCAGTGCGGAAGCCTTTTATTGTTGTCTGTTTCTAAATGAAAAATAAATTCAAGTTTTACAGGAATGCAATTATATAAATTATGGCCTGGCACAAAATAGAATAATTTTAATCATACTTACAAATATAAAATATCCCGTAATTGCAACTCTGCTTTAAAAAAAAAAAAAAAAAAAAAGAGTCAGTGCCAATAGGATTTAAATACTGATTTCAGTCTTTGGGAGTGACAGCTGTGAAATCTCATAGTAGGCAGGGTAGACACCATTTCTAGTAAGTGGTGCACCACATACTTGCTGGTAGAAGTTGGTGCATCACTTCAATAGAGCAGATACAAAACAGTACAAGTTAAAAAATAAAAGAGAATCAAATTAACTAGATTGTTTCATTTAGAATGTCCTAACCCTTTGCTTTCTTTTAAACAGTTCAGTGTGATATATTCTTGGTGCACTGTAAGCTGATGTCCAAATTGCTTTGAGTTACATTACGCAATTAAAACATTCTGACCACCATAAAGAATGAGGGAAAATGCAATGATAAATATTAGCTTGGCATGACTTCTAGTAACTAAGGAGCTTCAAGATAAGATGGAAATTATAGGAACACATTTACCATTTGTGCTGATTCTCCACAGACTTCTACCATTTTGAAGGAGGAAAACTTCAGTGCTTGTTGCTATTTTGATCCCTCTGACATTTCTTCCAGCTTTGACACTACTGCAATGGAGCTTCCAATTCAAAATATCTTTTCAACACTTTTAATGTCCCTGTGGAGAACCCAAGTCTCTGCTTGGAAGTCTCAGGCTGTACTTTTGGTTGTGTGTATGTGCTGGGTACAGTTTTAAGCCCCTTGTGTCACAAACAGGATTCTTGACAGAAACAGATTCGTTTCTGTTGAATCCATTCACCTTGCTGGGAGTATATGCCATGAGACCAACTGTACCCACAGCCCAGTGCTATTTGCTTAGTGTTTCTGTGGGAGAAAGTCTGAAAATTTATACAGAGAAGAAAATGGAAGTGAAGTGCTTTTGAGGTTGTTTCTTAATAGCCATTCATCACTTCGCTAATGTTTTTGAAGACAAATGCACTTTGGGGAGGTAAAGAGGTTTTAACTGAAATGTCTAATACCTATGTAGAGCTGGTAATATACATGGAAGCTTTAAAATGCCTCATGTTTTGCCTTTTTTTAAATTATTCTACTGATTTAAAAAATGATAATACCTAAATAAACCAATACATATTCTATTCCAGTATTACATACTATTATTCCAGTTGGTTTAGTGTTACACTGAATTGATCAAACACAATTGATCAAACATCACCATTGATGGTGATGCTAAGTGCAACTTGTCCACACAAAACATTAAGCCTGGGAATCAGTGGAGAGCAGCAGATTGTGGCAGTGCCGCTTGCTGAAGTGCAGAGTTGATCTGTCCCAGCAGACAGTGCATATATTTTCCCCATAGCTGAAGTGTTAATCATACATCTGAAAATTTCTGTAATATTCCTACAGTATTTATTTATAGGAAAAGACTGTGAAGAGAAAAATCCTAGTATTCCTTGTAGGCAGGGATCCATGAGGTAGGTTAAGGATGTAAGACAACTGTGAGATGAACAAAATGCATTTTTGGTACCTGCCAGCCTGTGTTGTGGACTGTGACCAAATACAAAAGTATTAGTGTTTGAAGTACCAGTACTCATGGTGAAGGACGATGAATTGCAGTTGTCTGCCAAGTGGCTGTTAGCAGCTGGTCACTGAGGCTGGATTGAACAGACAATTGTAAAGATTTTGCTTCGTGATCTCTCTTTGTGTAGCGTTCAGATATTGTACTGCTGGGGCAGAGATACACAAGCCTGGTGAAAATAAGAACTGTCTAATCTCAAGAGCTGCTTCCCTGAGAAAGGAATTTAGGAATATACACCTCTTATTTCAAAGTGCCAATTCTTCTCCTTAGCCTTCCTGGCATTAACTTGGAAAGGAGCTCCAGTAGTTAATCTCATGTAGCCTGTATAATAATAGGGAAGTCTACACAGAGTTCATAAGGGTAAAGAGTGCGTAAGTCTAATATAAGAGGTTTCCTATTTCTTGAAATTACCAAGGCTTGAGAGAAGTGCTGGCTTTGAGAAACTTGTTTGATTTTTCAACTTTTATCTTGCTTTATAAGAGAAAGACTGTAACAGGAGTAGTTCTTAAGATGTGACACCATACTGCAAATCTGAACACTTAAGTTCACAATGTGGGCTTGCTTCTAAGTCTGTTGTTTCATGTTCTGACAGCCACAGTGACTTTACAGAAAACACCAGTGATAAATTCCAGGCTGGTTGAAACCACTGTCTGAGCCTTACAACTTAATTTGGGAATAGTGCAGCATTATTAGATTGCACAGATACTTGGGTCCATACTCCAGAGATACATGTGCATGTAACAACAGAGAATGTTATCTAAAATCTCATATGGAGTAAAATGAGTGGCTATGTTGGATTAATCTTAATAAAATATACATCTACTTTGAGCTTTTCTGTAGTACTTTCCTTTCTGTTTTTTTTTCTTTACATTATATGTGCTGCCTCTCATTTCTTAGTCACTTTTATAGTTTTATAAGATAAAATAGTCACTTCTTGACCAGTACATGCTTTTCAGCTCACATAAATCAACGCAGCTGCACTGAAGTGAATAGGGTCATGTTGATTTATGCCAGCTGAGTGTTTGGCATAGTATTTCTAGTAATGGTCTGGTAATGTAAGATAAGCATAATTTACTTGCTTTGAGGAAAAGATCTGTATTAGCAGTATACCTTTCTAAAGCTGATTTCTTCAGTTATTTAGTCAGTTTTATCCAGGTATAGTTCAAATATTTCCTGATTTATGGCAATGCCAAAGAAGAATGAGATCTTCAATTTCTGAAGCATATTTACTGTCTAAATATGACACTAGCTGAAAAGCAAAATGCTCTCTACAGTGGTAGTAAGCTACAAAGTGGCTTCTGTTTCCAAAAACAAACAAAAAAAGAAAACCTACAAAACTTTCCCAGAATGCTGCATTTTCATTTTTTTTAATTTTTTTTTTTTTTGCAAGACAACATTATGCGATACCAAATGGGGGAGCTGGTGGCCATCAAGTTGCTGGTGTGGGTTGAACATGGCTCCCAGTATTACCAGTGTGGAAATGTCTGCCCTATAGCAATATTGGAAAGGTATTTCTGTTCAGTGAGATGACAGTTTTGACAGTAGAAGAGTGAGGCAATTAGCAAGTCTAGTTTTCAGGAAAGCTGGGGCGTGATCCAAGCCTTTTTTACATCATTGGAAAGATTCCTGTTCTTTTGTTGGGCTCTGGATCTCACTAATGCCTCTTTTCTCAGTAAGTCTTTTCTGAGTGAAAAAGCAAACTACTTGTTGACAGTGTCATTTGTTTCTTCCCAGACAAGCCCTTGCTTTTTATGCTCCTCAGTTCTGTGTAAGAAGTTTTCTCAGGTTTACAAGATGTGCCTTTGGATGTCTGAGATAACTTTCTGATTTGGTTAACCACTTCATTGCTTGCCTCATCTGATCTTTATCTGTCAAGATGTACAAACATGTACAGCATGTTTCCTAACACAATGCAATAGAAGTTTTGTTTATTTTTTTGTTGGTTCTTTTTTCCCCCCTGAATAATAACTACTTTGCCTTCACACATGACATCATTGTGTAGATCATTCAGAAGGGAATTTTTGTTTGTCTGTTACCAACCCTGGTAAAACGGTTGTCATCGGACCATTGCTGTATAGCCAGAGGGAAAGGATACAACTGCTCATTTCTGTGATCTCTTTCAGCCGGGGAGGAAATGGCGAGGTGTTAGATTGCAGGCTGAATGTTGTCAAAGTACATGTAGTAAGATTAAAATGAAAAGAAATCATGATTTAAAGAGAATGAGGAGTGTTCTTTTCTTTTATTGTGCATCTGGATCACATGTTTGCCAAGGGGAAGGGGGTAAGAGGTTCCCCTACTCACTGTAAATGTGTTTGGATAACTTTCAGATGTATGTTTTTTGTTGTTACCTTTTTTTTTCATTTAACAAGCTTCCAGTCTCCCTTTTGCCCCTATTTCATAGAGAGGACAGAAGCAGATGGTGACATCTGCTACCGACTTTCACAAGAAATCTCAACAATCCCTTCTGTGACAGCTGCTCTTCTGCGTCTCCTGTAAAGAGATG